GTTTTCTTTAGGACAGAATGTCTCAATCCTCACTGTTACACAACAGTCCTATACATCTGAGCAAAAGGACCTCATACAGGGTGCTGAAGAGATGACTGGGGGGGGGGGAGTCAAGAAGGTTCAGTATACATCCAGTTCTTGCAAAGATTACCTGAGTTCAGCACCCATCATGGTCCATCTTCTGGACTGTTTGGAACACCTGCACTCACAGGTGTATAGCAAAATCAATAAAAAAATAATAATCTTTTTATAAAATGATCTAATCTACAAGTGGGCATAAGTATAATTTGGACAACTTACAAGGTCCCATATTGAAAAGTTTAAGAAAGTTCCCTCAACTTCCAAAGGCTATCTGGTAACTTGATGTGCTTAAACTGGAAACAAATATAAAATTGTGCTGATACGTTTTAATATTAAAGACATTTTAATGCCCATTGGCAGTCATAATATTCAGTCTACCACCTAAGGTCCTCTCTGCATTTAGAATGCTTAATTTATTTTCCAACTCCAGATATACAGTTTGGCTTTTAAAAAAAATCTAGCTAAAACAGAAGCTGGCAGGAAAAAAAAAATGTACGGGATGGGGAGGAGACGAGTAACAGTAATTGTTAGTTTTCCTTTAGGTAGGATTTTCCCGGAATAGGGGTGGGGACATTTGAAGAGGAGAAAACAAACTTTTCCTCTAGTGTCACATTATAAGCAACTCTGAGTAAAGAAGGAATAATTCAACTTTGAAATTCTGCCATTAATTGGAGCTCCTGCAAGGGGGACAGTTTGCTATTAATTGTTAATGTCGCCTACCATTAGAGGGCACTAAACAACTCCACATTAATGCGTTGGAGGAAAGAAAAAGAGACGAGGAAAGGGGAGGGAGAGTATGGGCAGAGTCCGGGGAGAGGGAGGGGAGACAGAAGCCGGGAAGGGCTGGGAAAGAGAGAAGAGGGAAGTGGGAGGAGGGAGGAAAAGCCAGAAGAGGAAAGAGACAGACAAACAGGCAGACAGACAGAAACAGACAAAATGAATCTGGAAAGATTAAGAAGGATGTGGAGCCCCTAGAGCCGTCTAAAGTGAGCAAAAAGCCGGCTCTCCCGGGCCACCCACTCCCCTCCCCTCTCCTCCCGTCCTCATGACTGTAATTATAAAGCGAAAAGCGGCGGCGAGGTCACCCGTTTTTACCAGCCTGCTGCACCGAATGCGCGCGGTGCAGGTGCGGCGGCCGCGGGGCTTTGTGATTCATGCCCACTTTCAAAGGGGGGCTTGGGCCCGTCTGAGAGGCACCCAAACAACTGTCTTCTAATATTAGCACGGCTGTATTTCGGGATCTATTATAGTCTGTCCAGACAGATCCCATTGTAATGGGATCTTTTATTAAAAGATTAGCACTATCTGCTGCAGTTGGTGGAAAAAAATCTGTTATCACTGAGTTATTTGCAGTTGTGGAGGGGGTGGGAGGAGGGTGATGGAAGATGGGGGTGGGAGGATGAGAGGAGGACCAGAGGAGGGTCGAGGGGGGAGGGCGGGGGGGGGAAAAAAGGG